TTATGGTTTATTTGCATACAGCATGGTTTAAGAGAACACAACCAGAAAAATGACTAACAGCGCATCTCATTTAGGACCATCAGAACATTTATTAAATTTTACATAATTTTTAGATCTTTCACATCAATAACCATAGCGTAGTAAATATAAACTTAGAGAAGATTTAGCATCACTTTGTTATTTGATCCCATCTGTTGCCCCAATGCTTCTCATACAACTCAATACATCAAACAAGCTAATTAGTTTAACATCTCTACAAGCTGAAAAATCCATCCTTTGAGGTTCTCCAGGAGCCCAACTAGAAAAATCTCAAAGATAATTCTAGGTTGAAAAGACTTCATTTAGAATTCTGATATTAGAAAGCCAGCCAATATGTCAAAAGGTATAAAACATTTAATTAAAACAGAAATTGCAGATCATAGTGAAATAAATAGTTGTTCACTTACCAAGAGGTGACTGAAGATTTCAAGGTCTGAGGGGTGGCACATCTCACACATGAGTGTGAACACTCAATCATCCTCATGAACTACAAAGGATTGTGACTAGAAGATTTTAAAAGTAAAGCTGAGCCATGGTGGCATTGCACCTGTAGTCTCAGCTACTTGGGAGGCTGATGCTTGAACCTGGGAGCGGAGGTTGCCGTGAGCCGAGATCACGCCACTGCACTCCAGCCCTGGCAACAGAGTGAGACTCAGTCCTAACACAACAAAACAACAAACGCAACAACACAAGCTAAAAAAGACAGCATGAAGCAACAAGGAAATGTACCTGTGATAAAACACATGTAATCTTTGTTTCCCCTAGTGCGATTACCAAAATACATAATACTGCTCTGCAGTGTAGTTTGCTTCTTATAGGAAGTCCTTTTAGATAACCTGAAATCTACACCTAATGAAGAAAGGTACTTGAATTCCCAATTGTTGACGACCTGATAGCTGTGTATCCAAGGTTATGAGTATACAGCTCATGTTATAGACAGAAGTAAACCAAAAAAATAAGTACCTTGAGCAGGGAAACATATGGCTCTAGAAAAAGTAAAAGCACTTAAGTTTCCTGGTTACATGTGAATAATTCAGACATATCAAGAAAAGCCATAGCAACAGAATCAAGTTACTTCTTGAGGAAAACATTCTGAGTTTCCTTTTCAATTGCTGAACCCTCATCAGATTTTTAACCATGGCTGTTTTAAGCCTCTGTCTTCCACAGTTTTAATTCTTCTTTAAATGCATCTGCAATCAGATTCATGGAAAAGACTCTGTCCAGTATGCCTGAATATAGATTTCTGATAAGTTTAAGATCAATGGACTAAGTAAAGATATTCAGGACCCCCATGAAGAAACTGATAAATTCATGAAACTGACAACTAAGATTAAACAGAACAAAAATTAATTACATGAGATTAAATATCTAATGAAGACAGATATTTGAAACATGGTTAGTTTTTTACTTAAACGTTTTGTTTTCCAGATTTAAGGAGACTTTCTCTCTCAATCTATCTACAGTTTACAACCATTTGGTAAAGTATACTTTTGTGAACAAAACTGGCAACATTTACTTTTTCTCTGTCCCTCCAAAATTTGGAAACTATTTGTGAGTATTCCTAATTTTTATGGCAATGAAGTTGTTTGTATAAGTTTAATTAGAAGCTGCTTTTTTAATAACAAGGTACAATTGGAAACATTGGTTACGTCACCAAACTTTTAAATGTAACGTCATATTTTTAAGTTATTTATAGGTATAGTAGAAAAAGTCTGAAGTCTGCCTTAGATTAGCTTTCTAGCCTTGAGAAGCTTTTAAAGTCAAATCTGAGGTTCCTACGTGGTCAATTAGTATTTCTGCTGTGCTTGTGTGAATTTATCAGGCCAAATTTGATAAAACACAAATAACAACAAATTGGTCTTACTCGGATTATCTTTGTTAGAAATCAGAATGACTGTAGAAAGAAAAGTTGTGTTTCTATATTTCTAAAGAAAAATTAAAATATACCTGTTATTAGATTGTAAC